AAAATAATTTCTAAGAAAAAATGTCAAGAAAAAATAGGAGTCCTAAAGAAACTTTAATTAAAAAATTAACTGATCACTTCAAGATTTTCTTTACGATTCCAATGCAATAAGGAAATAATCAAAACCATATGAATACGTTTACAAAAATTTTATCGAATTGATTTGTCAGAAATACATATTTTATTAGATCAATGATATGTTATTGCAAACTAAGCCTGATCATTTGAACGGTTATTTTCATCTCGTAACTTTTCAATCTGATCTAATAATTTTGATTTTTCAGTTGAATGACGCCGTTCTTGATTATTAATTACATTCTTATAATCATTGATCTGGTTATTCAATCTGCCATTTAAATTAATCTGTTGCTGATATAATCGATTAAAAGATATTGTACTGTTATTGTATTCCTGACGTAAGTTATTCATGTCACGTTTAATGCTTGCGGCGTCGATCGTGGATTGATGCATTTCAGTTTTCAATTTTTCGATTTCTAAAAGTTTCTCCTTGTTTTGATTCATTTGATCTTTGATAATTATGCTCTTATTTTCGTTTTCTTTTTTTAATATAAAATTCTTAATTTCAAGAGATTTTATATTTTCTTGAAGCGTCATATTCGTAGTTTTTAAACTTTCGATTTCTTCATCTTTTTCGTTATTACTAACACTGAGACGATTAATACTTGATTCTAGAGATATGATTTGTTCATGCTGTCTTTCGATTACTTCTTTATCGTGTTTCATCTCTGTTTCTATCACCGTGAATCTGTTTGCATATAACTCAATTATTTCATTTTTGTGTTCAACTTCTTCGAACAGTTTAATCTCGTTTTCTATTTCTTTGATAGTTTCATCTTTCTTTCGAATTTTATTTTCTAAGGATTTCACTTTTCTTTCAAGTCTAAAGATAAATACATAAATATTTTTTTTCTTGTAAAGAAAAAAAAAACAATTATCACTATACCTGTCAATTGTTTGTTGGAATTTCTTTCGTTCTTTTTCAAACTTCTCATCTATTGCTTCTAATTCTTCTTGTCTGATGAAAAAGTCACGCTTGACTTGTGCGTTTAATTCTTTCACAAATCCTTTTTGTTTGGTGTATTCCTCAATTTCCGTCTTATTCTTTGCTTTTTTTATTTTCCTATCAAGAAATTTTTCGTGATCAGTTAATTTTTTAATTAAAGTTTCTTTAGGACTCCTATTTTTTCTTGACATTTTTTCTTAGAAATTATTTT